TAAAATGCATTACTAAGCCTCTTGGGAGTTTGCTACACACTTGAGACTAGTGTAGCCTAATAATGAACATCTCTTTCCCTCTCTATGAAAATGCATTAAATGCAGGAAATAACTTAATGCCAGTAGGTGCATGATGATCTCTGTTAGAACTCTCAAATAAATCACATCCATTTGCACTATGAGGTGAAATTATAGGTATAGGGGATGTAACACATGGATTGAATTCTGTAAATAAAAGTAACTGAAAACCTTGAGATAGCTTTCTTCACCACATTTGCTTATGCACCCATGTGACTTCAGCGATAGTGTTGGGAACGTGAGCATCACGGAATGCCAGTTTAATTGAACAAAGTGTTTTTGCATTGAGGGAGGCCTTGAGTGGAGGCCTAATGTCCACCTGCTACCTTAATACTAAACCTAAAAATATATGCACATAGATGTATTTTCCCACTATCATATATAAATATATTTACCTCTATAAAGGTCCTTTGTCTCCTAGTTCTTTCTTTCCTCTATTTCCTTTGACTTTCCTCTTATCCCACTATCATGCTCAGCCTTCATTTGGATTTCAGTAATTCCTCTCGGTTACATTACTCTTGACCAAGCGCTACCAGGCCTCTTACACCCTCCTTGCCACTGATTTTGGATCACTTGTTGCTCCCTTGTCCCTGGGTTTGTTAACACCACTTCCTATCCCCCACCTCCCTCTCTCCCATGTCTCCCGGAACAGTCGGTCCTGTTGTTTTTTCCTCGAGATTGTTTATCTAGCCTATCTTATCTAGATAGACCTGTAGAGATAATAATATGCACAAAAACAAAACAGCAAAATGAAGCCACAAAAGAGAACAAAACAACAACAACAAAAAATCAAGGACAAAACAAAAAGAAAAGCCTGTAAATAGTTCAAGGTCTGTTTGTTGAACTTTAGGAGTGTTTTCAGGTCGAGTAAAATGGGGTGCCACACCCTGGCCCCAAAGTCTATTTTTGGTATTCCTTTGGGACTTCCTTGCTCTGCTTCCTTTGCTGTTCTGTTGCATGCCCTTAGTGTTTTGCCTAGGTGTAGTAGGGTCAGATCCAGCAGAATTCCCACACTGTGTCTCCAGTGTTGTCTCCTGTAGGCTAATGGGTCAGTGAGGGATGTCATGTCTGGTAGGGGGGTTAGCCATATGGTCCTCTCTGTGCATTGGCTGGTCTGAGCTGGGTAAACCAGCGGCCATCTAGCTCAGAAGCACAAAGCCCACATGGGAGAAGGACACTAGTCCGTGTGATCACGAGATATCGAAGGGATTAGGTATCAGGCATCACAGAACAAACAATCATATCATTGTTAATGAGGTGGAGTGCGGAGTGGGGACCCAAAGTCCAACTGTGGGCAACTGGACATCCCTTTACAGAAGGGTCTCAGGGAGGAGATGAGCCAGTCAGGGTGCAGGGTAGCAACGATGAAACACACAACTTTCTTCTAGTTCCTAAATGCTTCCTCCCCCCACTCGCCCCCCACTGCCTTATCATGATCCCAATTCTACCTTACAAATCCGGCTGGACTGGAGGATGTACACTGGTACAGATAGGAGCTGGAAACACAGGGAATCCAGGACAAATGATCCCTTCAGGACCAGTGGTGAGAGTAGCGATACTGAGAGGGTGGAGGAAAGGTGAGGGAGAAAGGGGGAACAGATTACAAGGATCTATATACAACCTCCTCCCTGGGGGACAGACAGCAGAGAAGTGGGTGAAGGGAGAAGTCAGATGGTGTAAGATATGACAAAATAATAATAATTTATAAATTATCGAGGGTTCATGGGGGAGGGGGAAGGAGGGAGGAAGGGGAAAAAATGAGGAGCTGATACCAAGTGGAAAGCAAATGTTTTGAGAATGATGATGGAAACATATGTACAAATGTGCTTGACACAATGGATGGATGTATGGATTGTGTTAAGAGTTGTACGAGCACCCAATAAAATGATTTAAAACAAAAAAAGAAGGAAAATAATATTTAGAAACTGATTGTGGTGGCAATTGTACAATATTGTTTGAAATGACTGAACTATAGAATGATACGATGTCTGTATTAACTCTGAATAAAATTTTTTTGGGGAAAAACATGCAAAAAGGAATTCACAGGTGATAAAATAGATTATTAAATAATGTCTAAATAGGGACTAATACCTATTTGAAAATCATTATTTAAAATAAAATCCCTTCTAGTGGTGTTTTAAAATAAGTTTCTAAAAATGTATTATTAAACATTTGCAATACTGTTTTTCTAGCCCTAAAAGAGGGGCTCCTTAACTGAACCCCATACAGGTGCTGTTGTGGGCGTGTCTTTAAAATTCTAAAAGCTCAACTCAAGCTGCAGGATGAACCTGCCTTGTATCTGAATCCCAGGCCAATTCATGATCCTAGGTTAGCTTCCAGTCTGCAGTGTGAAAAACAAAAACAAAATTATGAGTAAACTGTTAATATGATTAGGACAACCTGAAATCAAATTGTGTCAGGTAGAGGTCATAATGAAAAAAGTAAACATTTAAAAATATTTACGCTTCTAAAGTTTCATAATAATTTATTATTTTCATTTTATAAAGGTAGCTGTTCAAGGTAGATTAGAATTAATTCATTTGTGTAACACTGGCTGCAGTGACTGGGCCCCCAAAGTTCCCCATTCCCAAGACCTACATGGGCCACTATTCTGTGCCTATATTCTCATGGTATGTTACCCATAAACTCAGCAAAGAATTATTTGCGGTGATGCTGGCAGTTTGAATATTCAGGCTGAGTTCACGTGCATTATGAATTATGGAGGTGAGTTTCAGAATCGAGGCAGGTCAACTACTGGATTAAAGTAGTAAATATATTTTTTTGTGCCTTCAACATCTATTAGCCAAAACACCACACTAAAATTATAAATACAAATGTTTTCTCCACAATTAGCACAAAATATATTTCTCAAGGTCAGAGAATAAAGCATATTATATTTAACAATCTGCGACTTGATTTATAATATTCTAATATTTGAGATTTCCTTAGCACTGTTGTCTTAGAGACGACAGATGTCATGGGTGGGCCTGTAGTTGAGGGAGTTAAACTTATTAATAAATATGTTTCAAGTTCATTCAAATTTATACCAGTTTCTTAGAAATATATAAATCCAGCAAGTACTTTATCACAGAGCCTTAGAGTTCAAAGGGACTTCTGATCTTATTCCAACTCCCATGCAGATCTCAGTTAGGTGGTCCTGCAGCTTCTATTTAAATACCTTTTGTACGTGGGGCTAGGTAAGTTCTGAGGTAGTCTCTTTTACTCAAGGTAAAGAGATTTGTATTTTTGGAGAAATATAACTCGCTCCCTACCCCCACCCCTGTCCCCCTGCAAGGAAAGCACTAAGTTTAAAAAATATGTTTCCTGGTAAAATATAGATGGATATTGAACAAAGAGAAGAATACATAGATCTTTGAAAATTAAAAAAAAAACTTCTCAGAGTAAAGGAAATATAATAACACTATATAGAGAGTTGTTACCACCTGTCTGTCAGTGTCCCATACTGTGGTGGTTTGCATGTTGCTACAATGCTCCAAAATGTCATCAGTATTTCAGATATTAGCAGGGCCACGCATAGAGGACAGGTTTCAATGCAGTGTCCAAAGTAAGACAGACTAGAGAGAGAGGCCTAATATTCTCCTTCCAAAAATTAGCGAGTGAAATCCCAGAAAGACAAGGGGATGGGCCTTGGACTAGAACTACTAATGACTTTAAGGGGTGTGTTAGTTAGGTTTATTGTGTCTACTAGGTTTCCATAGGAACATGTGGGTGGGGTTCAATCAGGTTGCAGCTTGACTGGAAGGCAACAAGATAAATGGCTTTCCAAGGCTGGCCCCCTTCTTTCTCTCTCCGTGGTGATTCGACTAGCATGCTGCTCGTTGAGCTAGTTCTTTGCCTCAACCATGTGTGTACTACCGTTGGGCCAAGCCAACCCGTGGATCACGTCACCTTGCTATGCATTGCTAAAGCTTGAGGCTCCTTCCAAACCTGCTTTGCCACGCTGTGGGTGGCTTTCCACCAGCTGCTCCAAAGAAGAAAAATCGGGCTATCTACTCCCATACAGAGTTACAGCCTGGGAAACTGACAGGGGCAGTTCCAACCTGGCCTATAGCGTATCTATGGGTCAGTATCATCTCCACAGCAGTGAGGTGTGTTGTTTTAACCTAGTGGCACTCCTTTTGTAGCACTCTATCAGAAAGTACTGTATTGTGATCTATTGGGATTTCGCTAGCTAATTTTTGGAAGATTACTAGACCTCTCTTTCTAGTCTGTCTTAGTTTGGATACTCCACTGAAACCTGTCCTCTATGGGTGGCCCTGCTATGATTTGAAATACTGATGGCAGTTTTAGCATTGTAGCAACATGCAAACCACCACAGTATGGGAAACTGACAGACAGGTGGTAGGAATTCTGCTGGTGGATCTCGTCACCCTGAGTCCATCACCAGAGCTCGGGACCCCCACAGGGCCTGCTTTGCTATGCTTCCTGGCTACTGACTGTGGCAACAATCTGCTCTCTGCTGCCTGCCGGGATGACTCTCTCGGTCTTACTTGTGTTGCCTGAGACAGACTCCACTGTCCGCTTCACTTACCTAAACATTTATTTATTTATTTAATGTTTAATAAATATGTATTTTTCTATTCCTCTTACAGCTATTATAACAATGCTTAGTACAGTTAGATCAGGCATGATTATACAATTGCTGCCACCATCATTTCAAAACATGTTCTTTCTTCTTTCACTCTTTAATGTCAGTTCCCTTTTACTCCTGCTCTCCTCCACTCCACCCACCAGGAACCCTTGTTATTATAATAAATATTTATTACGTCAACTCATAAACATTTGGTAATAGTTCAATTATTTTGGTGGCAATTATGCAAGGAAAAATACTGAAAAAAATTTAGGGTACAATTTCATAAATACCCGACAGGGTAAATTATATGAAAACAGCGAGAACTTACACTTGAAGAACTGTCCTTGGGTCTCCAACTTCACCTCCATCACCAATTGTCAAGGTATCATATCCAATCTCTAGATCAAATTCCTCAAAATTTATCTGGATTACCTATCAAAAAAGCAGAAAGGGACATCTGAAATGTATTATATATAATTATAAATAATAAAAAACAAAACAAAGCAAATGAAATTACTGGAGACACATTTAAAATATATATGTAAACAAAATTATGAAAACTAACTTTTCCCACTAGTAGACTTATCTTTATTACACAGGTATAACTCTTAATGTACTATATTGGACTTAGATGTATTGTGCTTCACCGATAAGTCTTTCTCAGAAGTTGAAGGATTGTGGAAGCCATATGTGAAGCAAGACAATAGGTGTCATTTTTACAACAGCACATGCTCCTTTCACGTCTGTCACATTTTGGTAATTCTCACTGTATTTTGACTTTTCAGAAGGCTGGTGCCCCTCTGCTGCATGCCATGGTCTCAGTGCGCGGTGTGCTGGGCCTCGCTGCTTCCTCCGCCTCTTCAGATCGGGCTCTCGCAAGTGCGTCACTAGTGGCTTGTCTTTCTTGATGGCCGCAGGACTCCGCTTCCTGCTTCTGAGATGGCCCACTTTTACTGAAATTGCAAGACTGTTCCACACCCATATGAGGATCCTTTATATCGGTTTTGCATGTTCACACACAGTAAATTGGTGGGAGTCCAAAAGACTATGGCTAGAAGGGCTGTCGCCTGTAATTTCATGCCATTCCAGTCTGAAATGGAACCTACATCAGCTCCAGGTATGTTTCTCTATGTGGATTTCATCTCAGGGCGGCAGTTATTATCATATTATGTCTTAATTTCAATCTGCATCCTCACATGACATTTATTTGATGTGCTGTATACATTCTGTAATATGTTTTCAGTGAACTGACTAGGTTTCTGTTTATAGAATATTTTTATCTGAAACATTTGAAGCATGATTAATGCAAATCTACTTTGAGAAGGCTTTATAAAAAGGTACAAGTTGGTAGCAAGTGGTTTTCCATATATTTGCATATATTTTTGGAAAGCTGAAATGGAAAAATCAGTGTGCTATTTTCATTAAATAGTAAGGCTTAAAAAATGTTGGAGCTAAATTTGAGTCTAGATTACAGATTTAACAGTATCAGGTTTTTTGTATGTGACAGAATTCCTCAAATATATTAAAATATACTGGTAAAACATAGAGCAAAATATTTTGGGAGATAGATTATACCATAGCATATAAATCAATACTATTCCTCACTAATGTACCGTCACATACTTAAAACACTGTCTATAAGATATTCAAAAATTCATCTCCAATTGAATTGCAATGCTTAAATAAAGAGTCTAATATATCCATTGCCATGAGGTCAACTCTATGTGGGATTTCCAAGGATGATAGTCTCACTTTTCTCCTAAGGAGCCAATGATGGTTTTGAATCACTGATCTTATAGTGAACTATTAAATGCTTATTCAGCAATGCCACTAGGACTTCTGGAATCTGATATTTAAAATAATACAATTAAGAATCAGTACATCAATACATTCCATAAATGCAATCCTCTTTATGGGCATGTCTGAATAACAATACGAACAAGCTATGATAAAGCGTCAGAAGATTTCAAGCTTGGCTCATGACGGTTGTGGCGCCTTCTGCTTAACGAATCCTGTTGCTATAGTGATTATACCGTGCGCTGCTAACATTGAGGCCAGCTGTTTGAACTTACCAACTGCTCTGCAGAAGAAAGATGAGGCTTTTTACTCCCAAAAACATTAACAGTCCCAGAAACACAAAGGGGTAGTTCTACTCTGTCTAATAGGATCACTCTGAGTTGGAATTGACTGAAGGGCAGTGGGTTTGATTTGGTTTGGGGGCTATACACTAACTCATAAAGGAAATGAATACTATGAAATGATAAATTAAAAAGGCTCAGCTTTAACCTTTTCACAATCATTTGTTATAATTATATCATAAATAATATTAATAATATGTACTTTATATCATGACTTATTTTACATAAATTGCAGTTACCAATTGAAAAAACATGCAACTTTCTTGGCTACTTACTAATTATATATTAGTACTGACTAAGAAGTTAGTGTTTTAGCTAAGTTTAAACATCGTACATTTAAAGCACTAAATTACAAGTTACAAGTCATATTAGAACTGTTTGACTTATTTTACACACAGTTAACTATAAATACTTCTGATTGATAATTACCTGTGAGGGGATATTTAGGTTAAGCTGTTTCTTTCTTTTTAATTAGTGTAAGCAATGCAATTATTAACAATACTGAATATATTCTTATTCAAATTTGCAAGTATATATCTAGGTGATATACTTATGCATGAAATTTCTGTATCATGCCAAGCAATAATTGAGTTTCATAAATTGTGCAATAAAGTTTTCTAAACTGTTTACAGGCTTTTAGGTTTTTATTACATGTGTATGTGTATGTTAGATTCAATGTCTAACAATTTAGAAGATGTAAAAGGAGTTTATATTTTGCATGTTACATTACTTAATAACTCAAGAATCTTTTAAAATACTTATTTGACATTTATGGTCTTTATTTCTGTGAAATTATTATTTGTCTTTTCTACTATTGCTATGCTGAACTGGTTATCTTTTTATTGATTGCAGAGATTATTTATATTAGTGTATCCCAATTTATTTCTCAAAATATCCATGAAAAATTTTAGTACTTCCAAGCCACAGGAGGCAAACAGCTGAGGCCGCTTATATTGGAACTTCTTGGCCCAGGCCTTGCCCAGTCACACAATGAATCAGTGTCTTATTTTCACCTGTAATCTAGAAGTTTAACACATTGGATTTGACTCTCCCGCTGAGAAAAAGAAAACAAAACCTCTTACAACTGGAGCAAGAAGGAAAGCTATGATAAATGGGAATTGTCAAGGATTTCGTTCTTCTTGGATAAGCAAATCATGCCCCTGTAAACAATAGTCAAGAAATCAAATGCTGTATTAGGATATATATTGTTCCAGAAAACCTATGACTCTCATTCTCAGTGAATATTATTGTAAATTTCCCTGATAATTAACACCCATTGCTTGTGTAAATAGCAACTAGCCATGAAAGGATTGATTCTGTATGAGTGACGTATTCAGGTTCTGTGATACGGAGTTAGCCTACTTGGCCCAATATCCCTGTCTCAACAGGGCTTTAGAAAGTTAGCACAGGGGCAAAGCAAGACAATATTAATGGAAGTTCATTATGCCCCAGAGGGGATGATTGATAAGACTCTCTACTATAAATTAACAAGGAAGTTTTGAAAGGGAGTCAAAGGTAGATTTAAAAAAAATCTGGGATTGGGTTTTGGGCTCACACTAAATCTTAGCTCCAATTTAAGAACAAATCATGGCCCTGCTCCATACTCGCCCTCAGGAAGGGAACACAGAGATATGTGTGCTATAGAAAAATGTGGTGATGAAATTAGATAGTAACCCGCTATCAGATAAAATAGTGTCTGGGGTCTTAAAGGCTTGTCTTCAAACAAGCAGTCATCTGAGATGTCAACTAAGTACACGTAGAAGAAGCACACTGTCATCAGTCACTGAAGGATTGTAAATCATATAATCCGAAGTCCAAGGATAGATCAGTATCAGAACATAAATTGTGAGAATCTAGGTTGCAGAAGGCTAAGGATGACAGTGGGAGCCCAGGATACATGTGTGGGAACTACATAGGAAATAAGTCAGAGTGATCTCCCTCTATCTATAATTGAAGGAGGGAGGGAGAGTGGTTACTAAACCGAGTGCATTGGAGAAATGAGTATGGGAGCTCAAAGAGAGAAACTGGACTTCAACACTTAAAACTTTGTCAGTTGATACACCCTCTGATGCCTGCTTGATCTGATCTGGTTTTCAACATTTTCTGTATTTTTGGTTAGTTTGTTCATATTAGGGGTTATCTCAGAAGTGTTGAATAAGGGTTTGGGTGGGGGGTGTATAGTTGAGGGATGAGGGTCCAAGGGAGATGATGTCAAGGAGCTCAGAAAGGGAAAGAATGTTTGAAAACTGATTGTGGCAGCAATTGTACAATACTGCTTGATCTGATTGAACTATGGAATGATATATGTATTAACTCACAATTAATAATAAATTAATTTTTAAAGGATCAAATGCATTAGGTAACTCTGCTGCAAAAGATCTCTTTAAAGTGGTAACGAGCAGAGGGATCTCACTTCAAGGACTAGTTGTACCTGACACAGGCCATGGTATTAGCAATCACTTCATACGCTTGTGAAGGCAGGGCAATGAACAAGGAAGGTTACCGTAAATGGACATATTCAAGCTGTGATGTTGACAAAGAATACTAAATACAGAATGGACTACCCGGACATACAAATCTAAATTGAACAAGAATACAACCAGAATGCTCCTTGGAAGTGGAAACGTTGAGACTTCTTTTTGCTTCGGACATCATTTCAAAGGCCAACTGCTTGAGATAAATATTTTATATTTGGTCGAGTGTCACTGAAAAAGGAGACCCGGGGTGAAATAGAATGACTCAGTACATACAACTATCGGATCAAGCATAGCAATGGTTAGAAGGTTGGCAAAGAACGACAGAAGGTTTTTTTCTGTTAGATATAATGTGTTGAGTCAAAGAAAACTGGAGAGCAACCATAAAAAAACAAAAAACAAGAATTGAGATTTGCTTTATATATTCTAAATATCCATTCTTTACGTCTCATATGTGTTATCGTATCATTTTCAAGTTTATAGATTTTTTTATCGTGTTAAATCTCTTGATAAAAGGAATGATTCGGTTTAGTGGAATAGAATGTACTATGTTATGATTACTCCTTCTGGGTTGTCTGTGATCCATGAACTTACAGGTATTCTCTTCAAAATGTCATCTTTTATAAACTGACATTTAAAAAAATATCAGCTATCTGGTTCTGAGATAGTCCCCAAGATTCCTATGCCTGGTATATGCAGTCTGTATAATCCTCTCCACACAAGGGTGGCAGGACATGTGAATGTGGTGGGATGCAATACTAGTGGCTAGTGTTATTAGCTTACTTACATGTTAAATGCAAGAGAATGTTGCAGATATAAT